GTTTGTATGTAGTGTTGGTGTTTGAATGCAAGCATGCATTTGTGTGTTGTGTGGTATTTGAATGCAGTGGTATGGTTATATATAATGGTGGGGTTTGTATGTAGTGTTGACGTTGAAATGCAAGAGTGTATTTGTGTGTAGTGTTGGCGAGATTTTTATATGTCTGCACATATACACATACACGGACATAAACACACACAAACAGTCACACACAGATACACATTGACACACATGCAGACATCGTGGTGACTCTAGGAACAATATATATGGGGGGGCACATAAGATACCACAATCAAAACAGGAGGGGGAGGTGGAGCAGTAAAACCTCTCACTAGGGGATGGGGTAATATGCTGCCATTGGCTGTCTGATGCCAGCATGCTATGTTCTGCATGCTGGCATCTGATTACACATTTGCATATAATTCACATTAGCCACCCAGATTTCTTGTTATGGGCTGGCTGACACCTCTTAATTTCAATCTTTGTTTAGCAGATAACTCCTCTATTTACTATCCTTTGTGGGATTGCCATATTTAAGGACACCAAATAAGGTGCTATCTGCTAAACAGCACCCTCATTTGGTATCTTTAAATATGGAAATCTCACATACGGGCACCAATTCAGGGAATGATCTACTAAACAGCTAAAGGATAAAAAAGCCCTTTTCTTATTTTCAGTTGTTTAGTAGATAAATCCCTTATTTGTTATCTTTATGTGGGATTGCAATATTTGAGGACAGGAAATAAGGGAGCTATCTACTAAACACATACACAGAGATACACACAATCACACACATAATCACAGCTATACACAAGCACAATCACTGACCCACGCACAAACATTACATACAATGTTTGTGTGTGGGTCAGTGATTGTGCTTGTGTATAGCTGTGATTATGTGTGTGATTGTGTGTATCTCTGCGTATGTGTTTAGTAGATAGCTCCCTTATTTCCTGTCCTCAAATATTGCAATCCCACATAAAGATAACAAATAAGGGATTTATCTACTAAACAACTGAAAATAAGAAAAGGGCTTTTTTTATCCTTTAGCTGTTTAGTAGATCATTGAATTGGTGCCCGTATGTGAGATTTCCATATTTAAAGATACCAAATGAGGGTGCTGTTTAGCAGATAGCACCTTATTTGGTGTCCTTAAATATGGCAATCCCACAAAGGATAGCAAATAAAGGAGTTATCTGCTAAACAAAAGATTGAAATTAAGAGGTGTCAGCTGTACCCATTTAATAACATGAGGTCCACCCAGCCCCTACCTTGCTCTAGAAGGGCTGGAGTGGATCCTCAGTCCCTGGTGGTCAGTGGTTGCTGCTGACCAAGACCAAGACTCCCTGTAATGAAGCTGATGACATCATCTGCTGGCTCACTGCAGGGTGAAGACCGCCAGACACACAGTCAGATGCACACGGAGTCCCAATACCACAGTCACACACAGTTACAGGCAGACAGTCACACGCAGGCAATCACACAGGCAGTCACACACACAATCACAGACAGTCACACATACACACAACACAGAAGTCACAGACAGTCACACACACAATCACAGGGCAGACAGTCACACACACACACACACACCCACAATCACAGGCAGACAGTCACACACAGTGACACACACACACAGAGTAACACAGACAGTCACACACACACACACACACACACCCACACACACACCCACAATCACAGGCAGACAGTCACACACAGTGACACACACACACACAGAGTAACACAGACAATCACAGGCAGACAGTCACACACACACAGTGACACACACACACAATCACAGGCAGACAGTCATACATACACATAACACAATCACAGTCACACACACACACACAATCAGTCAGAGAGTCACGCACACAGAGTCACACAGACAATCACACAGACAATCACAGGCAATCACACAGACAATCACAGGCAATCACACAGGCAATCACATAGACAATCACAGGCAATCACACAGACAATCACAGGCAGACAATCACAGGCAGACAATCACAGGTAGACAATCACAGGCAGACAATTACAGGTAGACAATCACAGGTAGACAATCACAGGCAGTCACACACACAAACACACACACAGTCAGTCAGAGAGTCACACACACAGAGTCACACAGAGTCACACAGACAGACAATCACACAGACAATCACAGGTAGACAATCACAGGCAGTCACACACACACACACACAAACACACACACAATCAGAGAGTCACACACACAGAGTCACACAGACAGACAATCACAGGCAGTCACACACACAAACACACACACTATCAGTCAGAGAGTCACACACACAGAATCACACAGACAATCACAGGCAGACAATCACAGGCAGTCACACACACACAAACACACACACAATCAGTCACAGAGTCACACACACAGAGTCACACAGACAATCACAGGCAGACAATCACAGGCAGTCACACACACACACACACACACACAAGCAGACAATCACACACACAGTCAAAGACAGTCACAATCACAGTTACACACACAGCACACACTCTCTCACTTACAGTAAGCTTGGGCTGGAGGAGGAGTGGATTCAGTACCTCCAGTGCTGTAAGTTGGGGAAGCAGGGACTCCTTCCTGCTTCCCCTCTGTGTGCAGCAGTATGAGGCTGCATATAGCTCCGCCCCCACGTCCGGCCTGGCTCCGCCCCCACGACCGATCTGGCTCCGCCCCCAAATCTCCGTGCAGGTCTCCTGCTGTATTCCCTGCCCCTGCGTGTGAGCTGTGTCAGCTGCCCAGTGCCTTTGCTGCTATGGCACCCGGTGCAGCCACACAGCTCACTGAACACCAAGCCTGGCCAGCCCTGGTGGCACCCCCCTGCCTGATGGCACCCGGGGCGGACCGCCCTCCCCGCCCCCCCCTTAGTACGCCACTGCCTGGGACCCAGACCTTGAGCTGTGTAAAGGACCCCCAAAAAATGGAGCTGCTTCCCGTTCTCCCAGAACATTGATTTTTGTGACCACAGTTACAAACCGCTTCCAGAGAGCCTGTTCTGCACCAGACCAGTGGAGCCAGACTGCAGCTAGAGCCCATCATCATCCTCATCTGGTTGTAAGTAGGCAATTTAGTATATTATTCGTGGCACTAAGCTCTAATTTACCTCACATTAAAGAAACACTATAGTCCCCAGAACCACTTCAGCTTAATGTAGTGGTTCTGGTGTCTATAGCCTGTCCCTGCAGGCCTTTTAATGTAAACACGGCGGCACTGCAGCACTGGCGTTAGTTAACATGGTAAATCATATGGGTGGGGCATTGTGATGTCACATGGGGGGGGGCGGCAAACTTTACTTTTGCCTAGGGCGGCAAAAATCCTTGCACCGGCCCTGGCTGGAAGGGGCTGTGTGAGCTGTGGCCGCACAGTGTCCCATGGTAGTTAGGGTGCCGTGCGGCCAGTACAGCTCACACAAGCAAACAGCTGATAAACTGGCCGCACGGAGGAAATGTGTATGTGTGACTGTCTGCCTGTGACTGTGTGTGACTGTCTGTCTGTAACTGAGTGTGTGACTGTCTGTCTGTAACTGACTGTGTGACTGTCTGCCTGTAAATGTGTGTGTGGGGCTGCAGGGATTTTGTAGAAGGGGGCGGGGGTTTTGTATTGGGACAGGAGTCTTTATAAGGGTGGATAAGCAGGGGATTTGTGGAAGGGGGTTGCGGGGGTTTTGTAGACGGGGCAGTACAGGATTTGTAGAAGGGACAGGACAGAGGTTTTGTAGGAGGGGCGGGGCAGGAGAAGGGTTTTGTAGGAGGGGCTGACAGCGGTTTTGCAAAGTTTACAAATTGTAAAAAAAAGAAAGAAAACCTTTAAAAAATTTTACAGGTTTTTTTTTTTTGGGGGGGGGGTGCCAAGCACAGGATCCGCCCCGGGTGCCAAATGCTCTAGGTACGCCCCTGGTCCCAGGGTCCACCTTCATGTTCCACCAATGAGTTTGTTCACAGGGGGTGGAGTGTGTAAGGGATGTCCTGGTATGTGTGTAAGGAATGCATTGTGTGAAATTGTGTTTGTATGTGTAAGGGCTGCAAGGTGTGTTTCTGTGTATGTATGGGATGCATTGAATGTGTGTAAGGGGTGCATTGAGTGTGTGTAATGAATGCATTGTCTGTTTCTATGTGTGTAAGGGATGCATTGTGTGTAACGGTTGCATTGCTTGTGTATGTGTG